ACACTTTGAAAAGTCCAAAGCAGCCATGGAAAAGCCCTCCCAACCATATGCCATATATTGCTTAGAGGCTTTTTGGGTGAGTACCATTTCCTAAACCCAAAAGCCACAACATGGAAGCCCTCCTAAATAGACACCTTATTGAAGCAGAGCACTCAACCAATAGGGCTTCTCATTCAAACTCTTAGATTCCATTCATACTTTTAGTATTAGTATAGATATAGATATAGATAGACAATACACCATAAGCTACATTTATTTATTTAAAATATGTATATATGATTAGCTTAAACTTACAACCGTGTATCATGCATTTGTTAATCATATTTAGGCATATATTCATTCCATTGTAAAAAAACATATAAATTTCTTAAACTATCCTTATGGTTTAGCTAATTGACTAACTCTACCCTTATTGTTTACATATTGTCTTAACGTACACCTACTGTTTTTGACAATTGACATCTACGTTTAGTGCTAATAGAAAAAAATAAAATGTCAAATTTGCCTTTCACTATTCTCCAAATTTTCAAAATAAAACCCAGCTGATGAAAAAATCCAGGAAGATAGGAAATAGATCGTTGCTTCATTCCCTTCTCCGCCTCCATCTTCGTTTTCTGTCACCATCTCCATTTTTAGTCTCCGTCTCCGTCCTTCTTACAGAGGAATCATTGCTTGCATATTTGGATCCCAACATGGCTTCTAGTTTTAGGCAAGCTTTGGTATGAGATGCATGCCACCAACCCCATTTCAAGCAAGTTTTAGGGGAGCTTTGGTTTGAGATGGAGTTTCTCCTCTGCTAAAAATCAAATTAATCCTTTTGAAGGTTCGTCCTTCCCTGCACAACTCAGGTTTCATCACTGCCTCCATGAAGAAACAATCCAAGTTTCATCCTTGGCCCTGCATAACTCAGGTTTCTCATTCCCTCTCTCTTTCTCCTCCTCCTCCCTCCTCACTGCCCCTACACAGTATTCCCTCTCTCTTCTTTTTTCCTCCCACCTCACCGCCCCTACACAACACTAAACCACCCCTACACAGTCGGAACCTCCACCGCCCATACAAAAATAGCTAGAATAGAATTAGAAATGAACACACCACCTATCAAATAAGGAAATACAGAAAAAGAAAATAGATTATTCAGTTTTTTAATTTGAAACAATTGTCCCATTGCTGATGTGTTCATATTTTATTGGGGGCACAACAAAGTGTCAGCAAATGTTCTTGCATTGAATAGAGAAAAATGGTGTAATAGGATTTGTGTAAGCTGACCCCCTAATGTCTCATGCAATCTTAAAAAAAAAAAATCAACAGTAGGGGAGAGAGAGAGAGAGAGATTGTGTGTGTGTGTGAATGCGATTGAATTGACAAATTGACATTGAATAGTACCAATGCGATTGAATTCAATGCTAGCCAATATTGATTCATGAAATATGAGTTTTTTGACAAAAAATGTACTATATATTACATGTTAAAAGTTACATATTGTGATTGTTTGGAGTTATAGTGCAAGGTAGACCCTTACAGGCTAAATAAGCGGTTGTGCTGCCTCACAATATGTACAAACTTTATATATTCAAATGAGTCTATTAGATGCCTCAGATGACTTCTATGTAGTTGCTCAAACCATTAGGATACTCGGTCAGTGTTTGCCAACTCTATTAGAGTTGCATTATCTAAATATACCAAAAGATGAGAGATGCCATTGGAAAGTGCCATGCGTAGTCTGCCTAGTAGGGCTTGAATTTTGGCATCATAGCTGGTAAGGGCCCAAGAAGGTATGCCTTCAGCAATAGTGTAATGCTCGTGGGAATGTTGGAGGATGAACCCTCGTCCTGCATTACCTGTAGCTGTATCAAAAGAGCCATCAGTATACAAAGTGGGAAGTTTATTTTTTTCGTGACTGACTCTAGTGGTGATGCATAGGATGGGTTGATGAATGCTCCATGTGATAACTTATCACTGAGTTTATCACTTGTATGAGATGTTGCCTCACATTCTCGAAAATATGCTTGTTCCTTGCTTTCCATATATGATATATAATTATAGAGAATTTACTAAGACATATTAGAGCTTGGTGTTTACCCAAATGTGCCCAGAAAGAGGTGTACTAGTTCATGATGATGGTGTGAATGGGGAGATGAGATATGTGTGATGGGTTTAGACCAATCTAGGTACCACACCATACTACACATGCAAATAGGCATTTGAAGAACAGGTGGTGAGCTATTTCTTCTTGGAGTTTGTAGAACACACATAGCCTATCTTCCCTGTTCAACCATGAGGAGCATTTGTTTTTTGTAAGTAGCCTATCCCAAAGAATCTTCCAAAGAAAAACTTGGAATTTGAATGGCACTTTGAGCTTCCATATAAGCTTCCAATTAAAATAGGTACTTGACGTTGAAGCTCCTAATGAGGATAGAGAGTGGTATGCCGATTTGACTGTATAAATGACTGTAGCATTATTTTTCCAAACTAGGAGGTCATTCGGTTGGCCTGGCTTCGGAGAACCAAGAGGATGTGGGAAATGGTGGAGTTAGAAAAAAATTGTTGCAACTTCTGAAGATTCCATGAGTCGTCTAAGTTCATTAGTTTTGAGACTCCTCAGGTCCTGAACTTGATGTTGAGAGAGAGGAGAATTCAGAGGCGGAATGTTACCTCGTAGAGACGGAATCCATGGATTAGAGATAGTAGATACCTCCATGCCATCCTTGATCGACCATAACATATTGGGACGCAGAAGTGAAAGTAATTGATGGGCCTGTTGCCACCACTGCTAGGGTTGTTCACAAATAAATCCAAACCGACCAATCCGGCCTGACCCAACCCGAGTTGGCCGATTTTTCTTCATTACCGGCCAATTTTGGGTTGCAAAGATGAGAAAACCGATAATTCGGTTCGGTTTCGGTGAAAAACTGAACCGAGTTATGTGAAAAAATATATATTCTAAAAAAAATATCTGTTAAATATAGATATTTTAGTTTTAAATATATATATGAAAATATATATATTCTGAAATATATCAAATATATATTTCTAGAAATTAAAAAATATATATTTCAATATATTTGTATATATGTTTTGATTTTAAATATATATTTCCAAAAAATATATTCTAAAATATTATATATAATATTAGCACTTTGACTTCATGTGCATTGTGCAAGCTTGGAGTTAGTTGAAACCCAAACCGACCAGGTCGGTTTTACTTAATAGAGGGTCGGTTTCAGTTTGATCTATAGGTAACCCGACCAAGTCAGGTCGATTGAAAAAACACTAGTAAACCAACCCAACCCAACCCGTGAACAACCCTAACCACTGCAAGCTCTCCTTGCCCTTCTTTGCCGCAAACAAGGAAGTGCGGGGAAAGTATTTAGCCTTAATCTGCGTGCTCCAAAACCCTCTTCTCTCTGTTAACAATCTCCAAACTTGCTTACTGAACATTGCTCGGTTCATGGCCTCCGAAGATCTGAAACCTAAACCTCCTTGTTTTTTGATTCATTAAATATGAATTTAACTGTGAATCTTGGAACCCATCAATTAAGTGCTACAAAACGGAAGAATAAATTTGGAAATAAAAAATACAACTTTTATGTTGTTGTTTTTGCAAATATAGATTTTGCCCCTATCATATTCTTTCTCATCCAATTAGCCTCTTTTTTGTCACTTTGTTATTTCGAGACTTTGCATTTCTATCCACACTTTTCTTCTTCCCACTTTCTTTCTCCTTGGACCACACCTCCCAAATTAAGCCTAGGAAAAGAACCTGCCTCCTTGCCTCAATAACATGTAAAAATCAAATGCTTGGTGAGCATTCATCACTCAGTTCCACTCTGGTTTCAGGCAAGTTGCAATGGAAACCGTTTAATGGAGTTTCTCCTCTCCGACCGTTGCAAGTTCCTTACTGAATTTCAAAACTTCACTAGAGAGAGAGAGAGAGAGAGAGAGGTTAATCAATACTGGTAAAGAAAAGGGTGTTATTGTCATTTTCTCAAAATATAACAATCATGTGATGTGGCATATGAACAATGAGCGGACTGTGATATAACCCTAACTATAGTAGAGTAATTAGTCAATTGTTAGAAAGCTTAGGGGTAGTTTAAGATAATATATAAATAGTAAGGGTAGAGTTAGTCAATTAACTAAACCACAAAGGTAGTTTAAGAAATTTGCCCTTAAAAGAATACCTTAAAGCTTACAAAACTGCCCAAGCCCATGCTCGATTCAAGTTACATTGGGTTAGGTCTGGGTTGGGTAATAGGTATAAGTTTGTATGCTAGGGCTTAACCTCAAGTTTGGGCCACACTCAAGTCCCATGTTTGAACCTTACGGTTGGGCTGGGTTGACGCTCAATCCAACCCAACTCAACTTGCCAAATTGCCATAGGATAAATGGTTAGAGCGTCCATGACATTTCTTTCCCAATAAGAGGAGGGGTTAAACATGAAAAGAAAAAAATATAGGTGATGTATACAAAAATACTAAAATTCAGGGTTTAAGAACAAAAAAAACAAAAGGTTACTCTGCCGTTTATTGTGGACATATACACCAATGTGTAAAGACACGTGGTTATTGTCCACATCTCACCCTGTATTGGGAACATTTTTCATGAATAATAAATATAAGTAGAGAGATATTACCTATGTGCGTTCAGAACATGCTGTGAGATCGGTGTAAGGCGCGCACTGTTGGGAGCATATCCAGCGTCGCCACTAGGGCATCCTGACATTCCTCGGCTCCCACGTATCTACACATTCCTAGAATCTATCAAACACTCTAAATTACTTCCACCTCCCTACACTTTTGACTAAATGACCAAAAACAATTACTAATGGTAAATTTCGAAAGTTAAACGAAATGACAACTAACGGGCATAGACCGGATAGACCACTAGCGGTTAATGTGGGTCAGATCTGACGGCCGGGAATTAGAAAACCCGGCCGTGATCTGACCCACAAGACACCCAAGGGTTATCCCTGCAACGGTATCGGCTAGGGTGCTGAGTCGCCGTCTCTCTACGACCAACAACAACAATCCCTTTCTTGGTTTATTTTCATTGCTTCTCTCTCCACCTCTGTGAACACGCCCCTCGTCTCTCTCTCTCTCACACACACACTCTCTCTCCTTCTTCTCTCTTTCCTGGCCTTTTTTCGTCTTTTTTCAGCTATTGTCGCTCCCTCTCCTAATCAGACGACCGATAATCCTCCACGTCCACGTCGTCTTCTTCATCCTTCCTTCTTCCCTGTTATATAACCGCTTCGTTCGCTTCTCCTTTCCCGTTTCTTCTGTTTCTAGGGTTTCTGGAAATGCGAGAAAAGAAGAGAGAAACCGCAGACTTCATGGTGCCTGCGCATTCTAATCAGTCAATTCTCGTCTTCCGATTGAGGATCTGAACTTCGCAGACATCGACGGAGAAACTGTTCGTTGGACGAATTAGGTATTGGTCGATCGATTTCACTTTGTTCCATTGTTTTTGAGTTTTATTTTTCTTATTTGCGTACGTATTTTTTTCCTTTCTTGATCAGTCAAAAGGTAGTGTTTTGTACCGTCTTTTTTTCTTTTTGAGTGCTTTTTTTCTTTCCTTATTCGACTTATACATGGTTTGCCTTTCTGGGATTGGAATTGCTTCTCCTTTCTCTGCTTTGAGAGATTTGTATTGTTTCCATCTGTTGTTTGCCTTTTTTAGGGTATCATCGTTTTTTGTTCACATAGAAGTTGAGAATTTGCGGTTTGGTTCGAGAGAGAAGAACCGGGATTTTGTTGCATCCATTACACTCTCTTTCTGTAGCTTGATGGCAATTGTAAAGAATAACTTTAGGGTTTCGAAGTTAGATGGTGAGCTTTCTCCGGGGTGTAGAGACAGTCTGTCGACTGATGAGGATGAACTTCCAAGGCGAAGTACTGCCTCGGAATCTAATGATGACAATGACGAAGATGACGACGACGCTGACTCTGGAGCAGGTTCTGATGACTTTGATATGTTGGAATTGGGAGAAATTGGAGCCGAATTTTGTCAAGTTGGGAATCAGAACTGCTGTTTACCGTTTGAACTCTATGATCTTCCGGACCTGGGGGAAGTTCTGACATTGGATACTTGGAATAATTGCCTAACTGAAGAGGAGCGTTTTAGCCTTGCGGAGTACCTACCAGACATGGACCAGGAGACTTTCATGCGTACCCTAAAAGAGCTCTTCTCTGGAAGCAATTTTCATTTTGGAAGCCCTGTTGCCAAACTCTTCAATCTGTTGAAGGGAGGACTATGCGAACCAAGAGTTGCCCTTTATCGGCAGGGTTTGAATTTATTCCAGAAGCGCCAACACTACCACCTTCTACGTAAATATCAGAATTCCATGGTCAGCAGTCTTATGCAGATAAAGGATGCTTGGGAGAACTGTGTGGGATACAGTATTGAAGAGAGGCTTCGTATTCTGAATATAATGAGAAGTCAGAGGAGTCTGATGTATGAGAAGATGGAAGACCTGGGGTTGGAGAGTGGCTTCTCAGAACAGGAGGAATCTGGTGAAGGTTTCTGGGGAAAAAGACCAAAAGACATTAAATTGGGGACAAAAGCAGGTCGTCGTGCAGTGTATTCAGTGAGTCCAGTTCTGGATGTTTCTTCTCGAAGAAAGTCTACTGCTGCGGAACCAATGAAATATGGAAAGCAGAACCCAAGAGGGACATTGAAGTTTTCTGGATCAAAAGCCTCTTCTGCAAAAGAGTTCATGGGTCACTTTCCTTCTGCCCAGCATGGCTTGAAAATGAAGTCTAAATCATATCTTCCAACAGTAGCTCATCCTTGGCAAGATCAGGTGGTAGGGTATGGGTATGGAGCTGCTCATCGATCAAGGGGTCAGGTAAGAGGTGTGGAAGAGTTGGATGAATCAGCATATGAGATGAATCTCCAGAGAGATCGACATGCTCCACGTGGGAGTGCAGTAGCCAAAGTTGGCTCATTCAAACCAGGGAAGAAATCCGAATTCCTCAGAGGCAAAGATGACTTTCCCATTGATGATTTTATGGGTTTGCCTTTGTCTGTAAAGAATGACTCTCCTTCTCATGGTAGGACCAGGTATGTCAATCAGAGGGCAGATATAGAATCTTTAACTGAAAAAGTGAATAATGAACGAGCTTCCTATAATTATCATTCCTTGGTGGCTGGGAAAAAGGCCAAGTATCTGGGGAAGTTTCAGAAACCTGCGGTTGAAGATCAGATGAAAACTGTTAATGATAGAGCACAACATACGTTATTGAAGGGAAATCACATTGACTGGTCTTCTGGAAATGGGTCGTCACGACATAACAAAGCACAAGAAGAAGCCTTTTCTGTGGATCTTCCAGTGAATTTTGATGATTGGGGAGTTAGAAGCAAGAAATGGAAGCTGGGGAAGGAGTATCAAACTGGTAAGAACAGTTTGGGTTCTGATTTCAAAGTTAGATCTCATAGAGCTTTTCCAACAGAAATGGAAGATAAATTTGCTTATGGGAAAACAGTGCAAGAGAAAATCAAGTGGAAGTCTCCACAAAATGGAGGAGTAAAAAGGGAGGAGCTGAGAGGCATCAATATGTTTTCCCAGAGTGAGGAGACAGAGTCAGATTCATCAGAACAAGCCAATGAAGAAGATGATATTAATCTTTTGGGGAGTAAGCTTGACTACCCTGGCAATGTATTGGAAGGTCGTAGGTCTGCTTCTGTCAAATCTCTGGCAGATCCTAAAAAAGCCAACAAACTTGTGAGGAAGGATAAAAAGGAATATGCTCAGGGTCTTGATGCAATGACATATCCATCCAAGAAGGGTAGTGATCTTGGTGAACAGATGCATACAACAGAAATAGAGATGTACTTGTCCAAAGGAAAATATAAAGATCAAATACACGATCCAATGTACTTTGCTGCTGGAATCCTGGCCAGCAATTTCTCTACTTCAGCTAAATGGGTTGATGATGATAGGAAACAAACTCACAAGTTGGGAAAGAATGGTCATTTGCAGAGTGAACCTGGTGAAAGGTCACATCTACCATTGTCAAAGGCCTATCCTGCAGAGAGGAAGCAGAAAGGAAATTATGATCATGATCATTTTGTGTCTCAGTCAAATTACATGCATGATTATATTAGTGGAGATGATGATGATGATGATTTACATGGATCACATAGGTTGGTGGATGATCATGAGCATACTACTAAATCGGGGAAGAAAGGGCAAAACACTGAAACTATTGTAAGCAATCATCATGAAAGGTCAGATATGTTGTTGCTAGGGTGCAGCTCAGTGACAAAGAAGCGGAAAGGGAAGGCAGATCTGACATACATGGATGAACCAGATGAATCTGGTTACATGAACTCCAGTCCTAAGCAGCAGATTGATGGCACAGCACCCCTGAAGAAACGGGGTAAAAGGAAAGTGGAGGCTGAAACTGGTTCTTCAGCTATGATAACTTCTCAACCACTTGTTTCAGAAAGGGGAGCTACAGATGTAGAACCAGAAACAAAACCAGCAAAGAAGCCATTCACTTTGATAACGCCTACTGTTCATACTGGCTTCTCATTTTCCATTATACATCTTCTTTCAGCTGTTCGTGCAGCAATGATTACTCCATATGCAGAAGACACCTCAGAGTTTGGGCAGCACCTTGAGAAGAAAGATGGGAGACAAAATCTTTATAAAGAAGAGCAAGCTAGAAAACAAGAAGGGATCAATAGGGAACCTTCTTTTCCATCTCATGAGAGTTTGGATGTCAACGATTCAGATCTCCCAAGACAGAAGACTTTGCCTTCTCTCACTGTTCAAGAGATAGTCAACCGCGTTAGATCAAACCCTGGAGATCCTTGTATTCTCGAAACACAAGAGCCACTCCAGGAGTTGGTCAGAGGAGTACTGAAACTATTTTCATCCAAAACAGCACCTTTAGGAGCAAAAGGTTGGAAATCGCTTGTATTTTATGAAAGATCCACAAAAAGCTGGTCTTGGATTGGACCAGTTTCTTCCAACTCTTCAGATCATGAGATTGTTGAAGAGGAAACATCTTCTGAGGCTTGGGGTCTTCCTCACAGGATGCTTGTGAAGCTGGTTGATGCATTTGCTAATTGGCTGAAAAGTGGTCAAGAGACCCTCCAGCAGTTAGGAAGCCTTCCTGCACCACCTGTGACACTGATGCAACCCATCCAGGATGCGAAGGAAAGGTTCAGGGACTTAAGAGCTCAGAAGAGTCTTACCACTATCAGCCCGAGCTCTGAAGAAGTAAGGGCCTATTTTCGTAAGGAGGAACAATTAAGATATTCTGTTCCAGACAGGGCTTTTTCTTACACAGCTGCTGATGGTAAAAAATCCATTGTTGCTCCTCTGAGAAGGTGTGGTGGCAAACCAACATCAAAAGCCAGAGACCATTTTATGCTTAAACCTGATAGGCCACCTCATGTTACAATTCTGTGTCTTGTGAGGGATGCAGCTGCTAGATTGCCTGGAAGTATGGGTACTAGAGCCGATGTTTGCACCTTGATAAGAGATTCACAGTATATTGTAGAAGATGTCTCCGATGCACAAATTAACCAAGTAGTCAGTGGAGCGCTGGATCGTCTGCATTATGAGCGTGATCCTTGTGTGCAATTTGATGGAGATAGGAAAATATGGGTTTATTTACACAGGGAGAGAGAAGAAGAAGATTTTGAAGATGATGGCACCTCATCTACAAAAAAATGGAAAAGACAAAGGAAGGATGCTACGGAGCAGTCATACCCTGGAACAGTAAATGCAGCTTATAATGGGGCTGGAGATCAAATTGGAAGTAGTACAGCTGGTGGACGTGATTTGATCTCTGATCTTAATGTTGAATCTTCATCTATGCATGAAAGAAAAAGAAAGGAGCTTGTTTATGATGATTCAAGGCCAAATTTGGAGGAGGATGTTGAGCCCTTCGATGGCTCAGCCCAAGATGATGCGCATGAAGCTCGTCCAATGGATTGGGAGGCTATTGATTTGAATCCCGTGCGGGATGACAAAATGCTGTGTCAAGAGAATTCCACAAATGAAGATTTTGATGATGAAGTGTTTAGCAGAGAAAGAGAGAGACCAGTTGGGATTTTAGCTGCAAGCTTACTGTGAAGAACAATAGATTTGTTGTCACACCAAGTTTTTCAGGAATGGTCCAGGTAGATATTTATAACCATACCTTCCAAGTTTTCTGAATACCATATTATTATTATTATTAAATATGCATATTTATGTGCCTATTCATGTTATCATGCTTGCATTTTGAATAAGTCTGGCTTATAGTAGAGATTATTGAAGTTTAAGTGGGCTTATTATCTTGTGGCTGTAGGTTGTTAATGTTGTAGATCAAGGATTTTGTGTATTGCACCTCTTATTAGCAATATAAGACTAACATTTAGTATGTCAATGAAACAAATCTCATCTCTGCACTATAACTTTTTATTAGATTCTTCTCCAGCAAAGGGCAATAACTTGTATTGCACTTGCTTCTTTCCCCGATAGTTTGGGTTTTCTTCTTTCTTAGGTTTCCTTTTTAGTTCATAGCCATGTGCTTCACCTTCTCTATTTTGATGCCTTCATGATATTGATAAAAAGGTTAAAGTTAGTTGCCTGCCAAATGGATACATGAAATGCTAATGTTGATGTTCTGTGACTTTGAAACATGCAGACTGTTAGAAGTTGGTTTTTTGGTAAAAGTGGAGAATTTGTAGTCTCCTTATGCTTTAAACAATAAACAACACACATGTGGTATTGGTTTGGCTATATTTTCTTTCCATTCCTAATTGTCAGGGTCCATTGATTTATCATTGTGGCATTTCTTTTTCTTGCTTTCTTGGTGGTCTGCATCAGAGGGTACATTGTATCATGCGATTCATTTATTGGTCTAAGCAATCTATAATTATATATTGCTTTGAAATTAGTTGATTTTGAAAGATATTTTCCATAGATTGGTACTCGGGGACTCATCAAAAGAAACAGATTGAAATTTTATTAGTCATCATTATTTTGTTTTATTTTATTTTATCAGTAATCATGTCCCTTGACTTATATAACATTAAAAAAGTGTCACAGCCACTCATTACTAGGCATCTGTTTTAACACCTTATGATTTGTGTTCCTTAATTGGCTAATGGAAATGCAAATATAAAGTTAATTAGGTCTTCAACCTGGAATCCCGTCCAAAAAAAATAAAATAAAATATTGAAGTTAATGAGACCCATATTCAGTTGGGGCATATGTGGGGTTAGATATGATGACTAAAAAGTAGCTAAGTTGGTACTCATTAACCATCCACTTTGTTGAGTTGAGTTTTTCATTTCTTTATGTTACAGTTCATTCTATTTCTTTTTTATTTTTGTGATTACTGCATGCATCTCAAACATGAATAATTATATGTCATGTATTTGATCGACTTGTCATCATTTCCATGGACAAATGATGAAGAATGCTGGAATGTTTTGCAGGTGTAGAAGACCACCAAGTATGCATGATGTGATTGTCCTTTAGGTGCTGTCTATACATTGAAGGTGTGGCATTTTATGTGTATATTCTTTTTTACTGCGAAATTGTAAAATAGAAAGAGCAGCTTGTTGAGGCTTAAAATGTTTAATGTTTTCTCCACAGGCAGGGTATAACCATCCTTTGCACCCCGTAAATAATATTTGTCTTCCAAGCAAACATTTAAATCATTTGCAAATTTACTGAATTATCCTTAAATTGGGCGAGGTTGGCATTATTCTGCCTGGATTGGAAGATTTGGTTTCAAACTACTTTAGTTTTTATAGCAGAACACTATGCAAGTCATGGAATCAAGTAGGTCTGTGCTGGTAGTTTTGTTCGTACCAATGAGTGAATGCACCACTCTTGGGACATAAGCCCTTATGCCATTATCAGTTAATGCTCCTAATTTCTTGAATGTGTTACAGTCTTTTACAATGTTAAGCTTGTGAAGTGTACCAAGGCTTCTAGGGTTTTTTGATCAGTAACAAGAAATAACTTCATTTGAGCTTTCAGGATAGAGCCCTACTCTCCAGATGTCTAGAGAAGTAAAGAAATGACATCAGAATCAGATACAGCCATTGGCTGACATATTGAGCACATGAATTAAAACAAAAGTGTAAGCTTTTGTCCCCAAGTGTGGCATACTCCATTCTAAGGTACATTTGTTAACAACCATCCTTTCTAAACCTATCAGCTAATCCTTTTTTTTTGTGATAAATATCAGCTAATCCATTTTTTTAACCTTTGAACTGACCTGAATGAACTTCAGATTGGATGCCAAAGCTTTAACTTCCTTTTGAGTATCCAAGGCCATTATGCACTTGAAAGGAACCACTTAACTGCCATTAATAGCAGTGGTATTAGTGGTGGTGGTAGTAAGGCGCATATGTTTTCTTTGACTTTTTACACCGTGAAATATAAACTTTGTCCAGAAAAATTAAAAGTCACAGCTAAGGAATTTTGTTTTGATAAACAGCTCAAAGATTTGACCAGATGACTAAGTTTTGCCTTTCTGGAGAAGTGGCTCCATAGGCATACTTTTAACAGGAAAGTATTTATGGAAGTTGGTGATGCAGGGATAGAAGCAAGGGAATCAGTTTTCTCTCAATTCTTCATCCCAATGGCAATTTAGTAATATTTTTATTCAAATTTTGGTATTTTATGTTGATGTTTTAGGAATTAGGATACGTGTCAATTTTCTAGAAACCATAGTTAAGGTATCTAGGTGACAAAAATGACAAAACAGGCACCTTGCTATAATATTATTCATATTGTCACATCTTACTAATACGTGTGTCAATACATTCTATTATATTCTATATAAATTATTTATACTTGGATTTAAAGTTTTACCATTGAAACTTGAAAGATCACAGGGTTTTGAGAAAAATAGAAAGAATAGAAGTAATTTCTATATTGAGTTTCTGATACATCTGAGCTGTATAGCTTTTCTACAGTTGGGGGGGGGCTTCATATCCATATTAACACAACACTCTCTCACCGCTTATCAAAAAAACAGAGGTTTCTTTTTTTGTTCTCTCTCCCTCTTACAATTAAATAAAACAATAGCTCCGCCTTTGTTCTTTTTCTCTTTTACTTTCTATCCTCAATTCTTATAATATAAAGTTATAGTGTTCTTTAGTTGCTAATTGATATGAAATGGCTAACAAGAAATATTACAGTTAGAGTCCAGTGGGTAGGCAGATCAGCAAACTCGATGGCTGACTCACTGGACAGGGGGTTTCTTGGGACTCTTTATTTTGGGCTACCTTGTAATCATGTTCATCTGATTTTGTAATGCTGTAATCAATCTTAAAGGAAAGGTCTCATCTCGTGCCTTTCCTTGGGTTGCCTGTAACTCTTATTTTCTGGATTAATAAAATATTTATTCATTGATAAAAAAATTGATATGAAATTGCTCTATTAAATTATTAAATACTTATCATATTAGTATTGTTTTCTGAAAATATTGAGTTGATACATTTAATGATTTTCCATGTTTTCAGGAAATTTAATGTTCTTAATAAAAAGAATTGCTCTTATTTCAATTAACATGCTGAACAGTACTAGCCAAAATTTAGTTCTTTATTTTATAAAATTTGTATCACCTAAGCGCCCCTCTGTTTTTTTGATCAATAACACTTTCATTAAATCATCAATAGAAGATTTACAAGAGGAAGACAAACACACTTATCTTCCAAGAGCAACAAAGAACCTCAAGAAAAGGAAAAAAAAGAAAAAAACACAAAAGTTACAGCTTAGCCCAAAACAGTGAATCCCTTTCTGCCCCTTGTTTAGCTAAACCGTCAACTAGGGAATTAGCCGATCTTTTAACCCAACATGTCTTAACTTCCATCTCCCGCACCAGCCACTTGAATTTCCTCCTCTCATTGTTGTACTTCCATAAGCCATTGTGATCTTTAATCAGCTACCCTATCACCACCTCTGAATCCCCTTCAATTACGAGTTTCCTAATGTTCAACTCCTTAGCTTTCCGGACTCCTTCCATAACTGCAAAGATCTCAGCTCTAAGGGAGTYRCCCACTCCAATTGGGCCTGAGAAAATGGCAGAAATGACCCCATTTTCATCCCTAAAAACACCCCCAATCCCTGATTGTCCCGGATTTCCCCTACTACGCCCATCAAAGTTTAATTTCAAAAATCCACCAGGTGGAGGGGTCCAAGCCACACTCATTACTGACTTGGTCTGTGTGCAATTTGCAATTTCACCCCACTTCCATAAATAGGGAAAAAGCCCAATCCCAAATTGACCTCGCAAAATTGCCTAGAAAACTCGTTATCTACGTCTTACTGTTCATGGTAAAATTGTGATTACTACTTTTTATAGTTTCTGGTGTCTTCACAATAAGATAGTTTTAATATGGGTTATCAAGTTATTTTAAGAATAAGTTCTTGTTTGAGTGCCCTGATGCCCAATGGGTTACCTATTTAGTTAGATTTTTTAAAAGTTTTTTAAATCAACTTCCTAGTTGAAATTGGAGTCTGTAAAGGGAGATCCAAGCTTTCATGTTTAGACCCGTCTTGCATGGACTTTCCTAAGTGGATGAAGTGTCCATTGTTAGATTCCAATGCTCTATGGGTTCTTGATTGGCACTTTAACATAATGTTTTCCTTTATCTACTTGTTTATTTGGAATAAATGAATAGCTAATATCTACAATGAATGCCATTTTTTTTTCTAGAAACCATTATTAAGTAACAAAGATAAAGGCCTAAACCTTTCTTATAGGTAATTAGGTATATAATGTTAGAACCTGAAAAAACTAGACGTGTCTGTGAATTTTTGTTTCTTCAGCTTTCTGAGTTAAAGCTCCTGGACACGTGTTTGTTTCTGATTCCTGTGTCTGTGTCAATGTGAAACTAGTTTAGTCTATAAATGTAATTATTTGGAATTTTGGAGTTACTTGTGGGCAATAGTTTGTTGCTCATTTTCTTTTGTCTCCTTTCTTTTAAATATTCAGTATTTTGTCATATCTAAATGTTTTTCTCTTGTAACTCAAATCCTTACTTCTCCCTCTTCCCACCATGCTAACCCAAGTAGAATTTTCTCCCTTTTTCCCTACATCAATTAGTTTATATCCAGCTTAAATAAATTAAAAAGCTAAAACAGAATATCTTTACCGTATAATGCCAATACTAGCCTTATCAAGAAAATGTCGATACTAGCCTTGCCTTCATGTCCTGGCCATAAAAGTTGGAATATTTTGATATATCATATGATGTCAATGCCTTTAAATAGTAGTTATCCAAATATTTTAATCTCTAAATCCAATAAATGAGTTAGGCATTTAAAGAAGTACAGCAAAAAAAGCTTTCAAAAAATTTTCATATTTTTACCCTTTTATTTTTATTTGCAAATGTGAATAACATGTGCCCTTCCACTAATATTATCATAACATGAGTTCCATTTAAAGTCTCAGTTATGTGATTAGAACTCTTTTTGTTTTGTTGGTTTTTAATGACCATGTCTTTAACAGCAGAGGCTCAAGACATATGAGGCATGTGCTTCATATTCACCTCGCAGTTTTGAGGTGTGAGCCCCTTTGGTTGCTCCAGCCTCATTTCTTAAACTTTCCATGATAAAAAACAAAAGACTTTTTTTTTTTGATCAATAAAACAAAAGACTTTTCCTCTACTAGATTGTTGGAAATAGTAAATTTATCAAATACAAAGGAAGAAAAACACAAATGAGTTTTCAAAGGGGAAACAACAATTTAATTGAAAAACTAAGAAACCCAAGCACCTAAACCTAAAATAGGTAAAACTTAAACTCTGCTTTATATCCATCTCAGAAACAAATCCTTCTCAAGAATGCTTGTGAACCTATCTGTTGGTTCAAGAGCAATGCCAATGAGATGTTCATGTGGGGGTCTCATCTCAGATAGGATGGCTGAGTTGAGAAAAGATGACAAGGGAGTTTCCCTCATTAGAAACCTGCCCATGTTGCCTGGCCTTTTAGAATAAGTGCTTGGAAGTGGGGCATAGTTAAGTGTTGAGAGTTTCAAGAAATCAAGAACTTACAAATGATGAGAATTACTTCCAAGCACTTATCCCAATAGAGGCTTGAGAGTTTCAAGAAAATCAAGACAAGGGAGTGTTAAGTCTTTTTACATTGTATTCAAGAAACTCCCCTGTCTTGAGAGTTTCAAGAAAATCAAGAACTTACAAATGATAAGAATTACTTCAAAAAAGAGACCCAACTCTTGTTTACTTCCTAATAGATGTACTCTTTGTAAAGCTGATGGGGAAACTGGTTACCACCTTATGGTTACTTGTTCTGTTGCTAAATCTGTTTGGGAGTGGGCTTTTTCCCTTTTTGGGTGTGTTTGGATACCCCCTAGGAGTGTCCAAAGCTTGTTCTCTCATTCTTTTTTCAGATGGACGAAGAAAAGAGGGAAGACTATGTGGAGAAGCATTAGGGTTGTAGTGTGTTGGTCTCTATGGAGAGAGAAACTCACGAATATTTTAAGATAAGGAAAGAACCATTGAAAACTTATTAGATCTAATTCTGTTAAGGGTGGCACATTTGTTGAAAACTATGGAACTGTTCTCAGATTATTTTGTGGCTGATTTGGTAAGAAATTGGAAAGAGATAGCTTCCTCTGCCCTCTGTAAGAGGACTTGTAGTCATTCGTGGTCCCCTCCTCCCTCTAGGTTCACAAAACTGAATTTTGATGGTAGCTGTTGAAGGAACCCATGGCCTTCTGGGATTGGGAGAGTGTTCAGGAATGAGGATGGGGCTATCATTGCTATGTTCTCAGGCCCAATTGGGGAAGGAGGCTCTCTTAGGGCTGAGATTCTTGCAGCCCTGGAAGGTATCCAAAGAGCAAGGGAGTTGAACATCAGATGTTTGGTCCTTGAAGGTGACTCGAAGGTGGTGATTAGGTGGCTAAAGGAGGGAGATAGCGGTTTGTGGAGTTATAACAATGAGAAGAATAAATTCAAATGGCACCTTTTATTGGCCTACAAAAATAGGGAGAATTATGTGGAGATGTGTTCGTGTTGCCTTGGCAAATGGAAGGAAGAGGAAGAATTTTGTGGGGAGGCTGGAATGGAATGGGGAAGTGATTACAAGTGAGGAGGAGATATCAAGAGCCTTTGTGGAGCATTTCAAATCCATTTATGATAGTCCAAGA